CAAGTTGCCGGGCGGTGGGTGCTCAGCCCATGGCGAAGACATCGGGCGACGATGTCTCGTTCTCAGTGGTGGGAGCCATCATGGGGATGGCCATCATCCCCACCTCGTAGCTCTGCTCCGCGCGTCTGCAGAGGGGAGAGGAGCGTCAGAGGCTGAGGACAACTCATCACCGGGGTGGAAAGACCTCGTGGGGCTCGGCACACTTACTTTTTCATCCTCCAGCAGCAGCAGCCGGCCACAAAGCCGGCGACCACCAGCACCGGGAACCCTGTGGGAGAGATACGGCGGCCGATGAGCATCTTCCAACGCACAGCCTAACTCAAGCAAAACGGCTCCGCAAAGAGCCGAAAATGCTTTGTGCTTGTTCGTGAGGCGTCCTCCCCCACCCAGGGAAGAAATTTGGGTGCTGCATCCTTCCCCCCTCGGAGGCATTGCCCTTGACCACAGCAATAAATCTCCCACAGCCCCGAGGAGAGCTCTTAGGCTAAAAAAAGAAAATAAGCCCTTGTTTGCCAAAAGAAGCTTTTTTTCCCAGCTCACCAATGGAAGAGGCCAGGGTCTTGACGGAAACTGGAAAAGAAGAGAGAAATTGAGATGATTATTATTTTTTAGCCGCAAAGTCAGGAAAGGGGGGGACCCTCACTAAAAAGGAGGTTGGAGAGAAGGGGAAAACGCATTGAAGAAGTAAAAAAGCCTTCATGATTTGAAACACGGCCCCGCTGGGGGGTTAGCTCCCCCAGAGAGGTGGCCTGACCTGCGGCATGGTCCACGGGGGCGGTGGGCAGCGGGGTTATTCCCAGAGATGTCCTTGGGGCCGTCCCCTCTTCCAGTGTGGATGTGTCCAGTGGTGGGGGCACCTCCGGCGGTGTAGATGTGTCCAGTGATGGTCCATCAGGTGCTGGTGGAATAGGTGACTGGCTGGCAGCTCCTGGCAGCCTGGGCATTGCTGCTGGAGAGGTCGGGCTGGCGTCGGTGGTTTCTGCTGGGAAAAATGGTGTAAAACTTTTTAATTTAGAAAAATTAACAGGCATGTTCCAGGTAGCAGGGTTATTTCAGTGCTCAGCCTCGTGCCTGCTTTGGGCAGGTCATCGCAAGGGCGATACAGCCCACCCGACAGCTATGAAATGGCTTGATTTCACAAAATTGAATTAACTCGATCACGCCGTTGAAATATTTTGCTTTCCATACCACAGTGGTTGTGGTTTTGCCGTGGCTACGGCCACGGTGGCCCCAAACCAACCTCCACGGGCCGCGTTTGCCCCTTCTCACCCCTTTGGGTCGTCCTCTCAGCGCGCGGCGTGGTCAGGACATCAGGGCTGGGGGTTTCCGGAGGTAGAGCTGGGTCCCCTTCGGAAAGACACAACGCAGAGACACCATCAACGGCAGTGCCCACGCCACCCTGCATCCTCCTCCAGTGCCGGAGGTGTCCCCCCTCCCTGGTCCCCGTCACCTTCCAGCTGCCAAGCGAGGGCTTACGGATGCATTGGAGCGTGGTGTGGGTCCAGTCGGGCTCGGTGGAACCATCGCGGAGGACGCACTGGATGAGGCTGGAGGTACCAGCTTTGCGTTTGTAGCCCGGGTTACAGGTGTAGCGCAGGCGGGTGTTGAGCAGCGTGTTGTTGCCCGCATCGATGTGCGCGTTAGCCACATCCTTGGGGCGGCTGCATCGAGCAAAGGGGGGGGAAAAAAAAAAAAAAAGAGCTGGAGATCACAACAGGGAGATTAAGCACCCTCCAGCCCCAGCTCACTGTGCTGAACAGCACCCAGGAGGGTCAAATCCTGCCAAAGGGTGGCAATGGGGTATTGGTGCTGGCCCGAGGCTGGGAGAGCCTCATCCAACCTGCAAAGAGACGGGATGCACAGGGGATGGAGAAGGGGAAAGCTCCGTTTCCAGCACATTTGCAGCCACTTGTAGCAGCTCCTCCCGTCCACCA